ACCCAACAACACCAACACCAACAAACACCAACAAACACCAACACCAACACCAACACCAACACCAACACCAACACCAACACCAACACCAACACCAACACCAACACCAACAACACCAACAACAACACCAACACCAACACCAACACCAACACCAACAACAACAACAACAACAACAACAACAACAACAACAACATCAACATTTAAAGTCATCACAGTAAGAAAAATAGCAATAGGAACAATAGTGTACATGGCAGCCATCGTAGCAATGATACAACGTAGTAAACAATAACACTACTTATGATTATAGCAACTGTAGCATAACAGTAATGACAAAAAGTCTAGACATTGTAGTAGTTGTAGATAGCTGTAGTAACAACAGCTACAATAGTACCCTCGTGCATTTACATGCCGCTGGCCTCATGCAAGCTGATTGCAGCAACCAAGTTTCGAGCTTAACACAAGTGTCGAAGCTGCTATCAGGAAGGTGTTGCGTGTGACTGTTTGGGTGGCTAGAGTTGAGGGTCTAAGGTTTAGGATGCTACATGTACCAGAGACTTTTGCCCTTATAGAACCCCACTTAGCCCGTAAAAACTGCTGTAAGTTTAAATCTTCATACAGCTCCAAGAACGGGAGCTTTAGCGAAGTGAACATCGGCGAAGGAGACGAAAGGCTCCCGCCGCACCAACACCAGGGCTGGCACCTGGCTTTGGGGATCTGTTTGAGGGCTTCGGATAGGCCTTGCCCTTTAGGGATTACTTGGAGGATCATGGGACTCAGTAACTAGGGTTATAAATAAGGTAATGATAATTATAACCCCATTAGGGACCTTATAACCTTACTTACTAAGTCCCGTGATCCTCCAAGTAGGGTTGAGTCTAGGCAAGAGGTTCTATGGTTTACGCCAGCGGCCAACTGCGGAGGTGTGGAGCCGAGCTTGGCAGTGGGGTCTGCAGTTCATGGTTCTGCAAAGCGATCATGCCGAATTCTGTGTGCAGATGGAACCAGAGAAGCTCGAACGGCTAGCTGCGAGGAGATGTCTCTGCGCACGGTGCCGCAACGTGCCGCAATGTCTTTGAAGAAAAACCCGCCCGTTGCGCGCAGACGATCGTCAGAGGCATGGCTAAGGCCCAGGAGTAGATCGTCACGGGGGCAAGGACAGCCAGGAGCCTGGCTCAGCTGAGAATGCTGCAGGGGCTGTTTGTTGGAATAGTAGGATGGCGCCTCAGTCATGAGTCCCGAAATCAAACTCTTCAGTGGTTAAGGGATCTCGTCTCAAGATCCTTCGGCACATCATACAACCGGGCCGGCAGACGCGAAACCGCAGGCCACTCGCACCTTGTTTGCTCGCTAACCCCAAAACCCTAGCCAAACTCTTAATTTTTTTACGGCATGGGACGTGCCGGGCCAGGTGGTGAAGCCAATACAGAAAACAGACCCTCTCCAGTCGAAGCGTGCGGCGACGGCCAAATGTAGCAGTGGCAGTATCAGTAGCAGTAGGCAGTAGCAGCAGCAAATGCAGCAGCAGCAGCAGGAGTCGGAGTCGGAGTGGGAGCGGGCTGCAAGAGCAGGAGTAGGAGTAGTAGCAGCAGCAGCAGCAGCAGTAGCAACTGTAGTAGTAGCCGTAGTAGTAGTAGTAGTAGTAGTAGTAGTAGCAGCAGCAGCAGCAGTAGTAGCAGTAGTAGCAGTAGTAGCAGTAGCAATACTCAGTAGCAGTGGCAGTAGCCGGAGGAGGAGGAGGAGGAGCAGCAGCAGCGGTAGTATTGTTGTTATTTGTACTACTATTCTTACTTTGTTTGTATAATTTTAGTAGTGCTACGGTTCCTGTTTGCAATCAATTACCCCCCATTCCGAACCCCGAAGGTCAAGTGCCAGGGCCCTTGCCGACTCCCAGAGGGGACATGGAAGTCGGACACCACTGGACTTGAGCGCCGGTCCTTGTCAGGGACTACTCGCACCTTTTTTTGGCGATATAAGTGTACTGATCATTGCTGATCGAGATAATCTGGACTTTAACACTGCTCGTTGCACACTGATTGGTCGAGGAACTAGAGTCACTACTGTAGAGCATCCACAGGCTCACACGGCCTTGCGCATCCTCCGAGAAGACGGAGAAGGCATAGTTTCGAAGAGCTAGGGCCGCGATTGCGGACACCGCAGCTCCTAAGCGAGTGGGTGTTGGGACGTTGCTGCTAAACTTTAAAGAAAGGTAGCCTAAGCAAGGCACGGTTACACAGGCTGCGTGTGCAATGTGATTTAAGTTTAATTCGGCCTCAGCATGCTCACCGTCGTTCTAGTTATGAGCCACATACGATTCTACTCTGCTACCCCTTTTCGATGACTTCCTTGCCCTTGCACAAATCAAGCCTGTCCAGAAGAAGATACACACATACCGGCGTTGCCCTGTGTTCCTCGCAACTTAAGTCCAAGCATCCACCTAAACCACTTCTCGGGAGTCTTACAGCCTCGTAGATGCCCTTAAAGCCTTATGGTACCCTTGAAGAAATTATGGTACCCTGAAAGAAACCCGTTAAAGCAACCCCTGCAAACCCTGAAAAGAAACTCCAGCAAAAGCACCCGGCCTGCCAGTACCCAAACACCTGCCGTCTGCCGCCGCTGCAGCGCAGCCTCCCGAGTCTCAGGGCGGTTTAGGGGTTTTGGGTTTAGGGTTTAGGGGTTTAGGGTTTAGGGTTTAGGGTTTAGGGTTTAGGGTGTAGGGTTTTGGGTTTAGGGTTTAGGTTTAGGAGCAAGGCACTATCAATTCCGTGTTGCCTTGCTTACCGCCATCGCCCTGCCCCCGCACCACGCTACAATCTACAACGATCTTTTCTACAAACCTAACGATTCGTGCATATTATTATGCATAATATTAACTAATCCCCTTCGTTCATTCCTAAATTCTCTATGTGCTTCTTGGTTTTGTTATGTCG